GGAACCAGAGTGATGGAACGGCTGCCTATGGCGTTGCCATGTGGCCTCGGTCAACGTGGGTTCGTGACGTAAGGGGTAAAAGAATCTTGAGGTCATGGGGCTTCCCCTGACCTGGATTCTATCTCTCCGTCACCGGCAGAATCGCTGATTAATGCCTACAGTTCAAAATAGTCATTTTGACTGACCGGAGTCTATGGTGGGTATGAACTATGTGAATAGGCGGGTTCGAAGAACCCTCGCCTAATTCTAATTTATCACCTAATTTTGAAATCTTTCTGAAATAATAATATTTTCTTTTAAAGGTGAAAAATCAAATTAACCAACCTCAACTATTTGCCAGTGATTATATTTTTTTTTTAATTTGCTTTTTAACAGAAAAAGAATTTTAATCGAGTGATGAAGGCTTTGGACAGTTTTATATCCGTTCGAGAAATGACGCAGATTGCCAGCTCCATGGATATGAAAAAGAAGATGGATAAAGAGGATTATATGGCATATCCATTATTTCAGTGGTAAGAGAACAAAAAAAATTGTTTTCGTTTTCTTGAAAATTAAAAAAAAAATTAACTTCCATCAAATTTTGTTCACATTCGAGTAATGGTAAATACTGGTAGTCCATTTTCGTTCACAGCGAGATCCCTCGACATTTGTGAAATCAAGTGTAAAAATAGGACAAACAAAGCTCATAGCATTGTAGGGCGTCAACATCGCATCACAAGCACGAAAAACATTTTTGGTGTATTTTAATGCTAAATAATGTGCTATACATATTTGATGATGGTCAATTTTGCTGGAGTAAGTGTATCTCAATGTCATATTCCAGTCCGGAAGCTCAGCATTTTGACATTAAACTACAATGAAAGAAATTCATGTTCATGAATTTTGAAAGCAGACATTTGTTCCGCATCTTTCATGCATTATGCAAGACCCCGCAGTAAATAAAAAATCTTCTATTCTGTGTTGGTTGAAATTCGATATAAAAATAATGAGTAAAATGTCGAAAGTAAGAACATTTTAGGTTTGACTTTTTTTACTCAGTGACTTTTGAACTTAATCATTTGAATGTCAATGTGTACTTTTGTGAACTAGTACAAAATAACTGTATAATTTTTCCCATTAATTTTATGGAAACATTTCTCTTCAAGACCAAAATTTTGGCGGGAGAAATGGTTTAATGCTGTTCTGTTTCATTACAGGGTGATATCAAGTAATCGGTCACATATTGTGAAATTACCTGAATGTAGAGTGAGTTATACTTATATATTGTTAGCAATTCAATCAATTTTGACTGAACTATCTTTAAAATGTATTTGATCTCCAAATGCCTGGTCATCCATCCATCTCATACTAATTTTTCTTCCAATCAAGATAGTATGCAAATGAAGAGTCGTTGAGCAGTCTGAAATGTATGCAAATTACATGTAAAAGAAGGTTGTCATACATTTGGAATAATCAGAAAATTATGCAAATTATAAGGTCATGTTATACATCTGGACCAATCAGAAATTCATGCAATTTTAAAACTCATAAAATTATGCAAATGAATAGGTCATGTGATAATTTGAGCCAATCAAAATTGCATGCAAATTAAAAAGATGTCACATGATAATTTTGGCCCAATCTGAATTGCATGTAAGTTAAAAATTTTGTTTTCTCTTGTTTTCAGCAAATAAAATTTATGCACACACCACACCAGTTTTTACTACTAAGTAGTCCTCCTGCTAAAGAGGTTGCCTTCAGAGCTGCTAAAAAAGAATTTGGCAGTGTCTTTGCATTCCAGTAAGTAAACCAGTCATATACATACATACATACATGTTTGTTTGCCCTACTGTGAAATACTTTATTTTGCTGGAATTAATTTTCGCTGAAAAAACTTTTTTTGGTGTTTTGTGTGGATTTTATTTTCACTGATTTTTGAAGAGTTGAATGTAAAATATAAGAAAAAAAGTATATTCGCTGGATTTTATTTTCACTGAATCATTAATTCCAAGAGAAAATAAAGTATTTTACAGTATTAGAAATGCATCTTCAGTAGAGGATTATTCTCCAATATGGAAGTGCATCTCCAATAGATAAGCACATCTCCAGTAAGGAAGTGCATCTCTAGTAGAGAAGTGCATCTCCAGTAGGGACGGTGCATCTCCAGTAGGGACGGTGCATCTCTAGTAGAGAAGTGCATCTCTAGTAGGGACGGTGCATCTCCAGTAGGGAAGTGCATCTCTAGTAGGGACGGTGCATCTCCAATAGATAAGCACATCTCCAGTAAGGAAGTGCATCTCTAGTAGAGAAGTGCATCTCC